GGGTCTTCTTGCTTTGCTGGTATTTTCCACAAAAGCCTGGGCAACATCTATTGTTCAATAATATTTAACATTCAGGGGAATCTGGATATTTTTTAAAGTGTGACCAGAAAAAAAAGGCCCTTCCTAGGCTGTCCCAGAATTCCTCATAACAAAGAAAGCTTTGTTTCATAAAGAAATACCTTGCACTGGAATACCCTAGGGAAACCAGGGTCTGGGGCTTTTTTAAACAAAGACGGGAATGTTCGGATTCCAGGTTCCCTTTAAGTACTCTTCTAACATGAATATTTTTAAGGATTCTCTATCAAGTTCATGCATGAAATGTCACCCAGCCGTTAGTATATTTCTATGCAAATACAGCTGTGAAAGCTAATAACTGAAATCTGCATTTTTTCCACATTTCCAGTGTATTAAGCAACTTCTCACTCTTTTCTGTTTTGTAACTAACATTAGCCTCTTGTATCAATAGAACAAAGCTCAGGTTATACTGCTTCCTGCTTGAATTCTCTGCAAACATCAAAGGTGGACATTTGAATAAGCAATTTAATGTATACATTTTTATTCAGTTCAGTATACTGATTTTCTCCTGGTAGGAATGAGAATTCTGCAAGATGACTGCAGAGAAACACACCATTCAGAATATGAATTGGAATATTCTTGCAATGCTTTTCAGTGAGGATGGTGTGATATTAAAATTAGAATCCTGCATATAATCAGATTTTGATGCTTGTACACATTGTGTGGTATTTCTTTTCCTTTACAAGGTTTATGTGCAAAAACACAGCAATACAATATTTGGAACATGCACTGTCTGCAGATACTACACCATCCCAACTGATGAAAAAATAATGTCAAGGAAAATAAGAAAGTGTCTGGGGCACTCCTGCATACAAACTTGCTAAATTCATCAGAAGTAGTTTTACTGTTCTGAAGACATAAAATATTGCAAACCCCGTCCTTTCAGAACAGTGAGAACAAACAGGGCTCATGTCCATCCCTTTATTAAATCTTGGACTAAAGATTGACTCTTGAGAGCTGTAAATATTTCTCTTTCAAATATAATCTTTCAAATTCTCTGATACAATACACATAGAATTTCTTCCAAATGGCCTATATTTTCCAAATTCCCTCTCTTATTATTTACCAGTGCATGTAAGAGGTAAATAGAAAAGATAAGATAGGTGGGGATTTAATTAGGAGCAAAAGGAGGCACTACTGAGAATATATAAAAGTATTTAGGGAGCATAAATATAAGGCATACCTTCAGGTTTTATCCAAAAATGCAAGAGAAAAGACCACAAAGCAAAGGAAGTCTGAATGTTGTTTAAGGGCTAAAAGGAATCAGCCCAGTGAAGCAGCTCAAGATTCTGCTTCAATAGTTAACCGATTGGGAATTAAGCTAATAATGCTTTAGATAAATTTTCACTGATGAGAAGTGATGAATTGACACATTTCTAAAGAAGTAATGACAGTTCAGTAGACACCCGTATCTGTCCTGCCTCTGACATGGAGGCACTATCCAGAATCACAGAATCATGGAATCATTTATGTTGGAAAATACCTTTAAGATCATCAATTCCAGCCATTAACCCATCACTGCCAAGCCCACCACTCAACCATGTCCCTGAGCACCACATCTACACCCTTTTAAATATCTCTAGGGTTGGCAACTCTACTACTTCCCTTGGCAGCCAGTACCAGGGCTTGACAACCCTTTCAGGGCAGAATTTTTCCTAATATCCAATCTAAGCCTTCCCTGGGTCAGCTTGAGGTTGTTTTGCCTTGTCTTATTGCTTGTTACTTGGGAGAAGTGACCAACCTGGCTACAAGCTCCTTTATGGTAGTTTTAGGCATTGTTAAGGTGACCCTGCCCCAGCTCCGCTGCCCTTCCCTGGACTCGCTCCAGCCCCTCAATGTCACTCTTGTCATGAGGGGCCCAGAACTGGACACAGCCCTCGAGGTGTGGCCTCACAGTGCCCAGTACAGATGGACAGTCACTGCCCTGCTCCTGCTGCCACACCATTGCTGGTACAGGCCAGGTGCCACTGGGCACAGCTGGCTCTTGTTCAGCCCCTGCTGACCAGCACCCCAAGGGTATTTTCACGGTGTCTCCAAAACTCACTAAAATCACTCCTGACAGCTCTCACAGTTTTCATTTGTTTTGAGTTTTTTTGACTCTGTTAACCATAAAAACAAGGGTAGTAGCTGTTCTTGCCCTCACGCCATGTAGCAAAATAAACTCAGAGGTTGGATGTAGCAAGGACTCCAGTGGACCTCAGATATCTATATGCAGCTTTACAATCCAAGAAAACCGACAGAGTTATTGCTTACCCTGCAGGGCTGTCTCAGTACAAGATCTCAAATACCATCTGTGCTCAGTGTGGAAGCTGCCAAAACCCCATCCACAGAAACCGTGGAGCACACAGTGTTGTAACTCTCATCTTGCTCTGGAGCAAAGATTGAAAAAAGACACCTCCATCCTCTGACTTACTCAGCCTGAAATGCTCACCCCTGACAGGTGCAGATACAAAGTTCTTTTCAAAACTAGGCTAAGGGAGATTTCATTCAAAATCCACCAACAAGACCAGGAGATGTCTCTCATTTTTAATTTATAAGCTCCTTGCTGGGACCCTTGCCTGGCAAGTGAGGTGCCTAGCTTTGGTGCCCCATCTGCCTGAAGGGGTTCAGCCCTCCCACTCTGCACCTCCACTTGTAAAATCCTTTTCTTCACCTAGGCACACATAATTTCCTCTACTCAAAACCCTCAGGAGAGGGATGCATCTGTCTCCCTGTCTCCTGCTCAATGCATTACACCCCAGATGAGTTCTTACTGATGACTTGTAAAGGTAAAAGTACAGCAAGTGACTAAGCTACTGCAGGGTCATGTGTTTCTTCCACAGAGAGCAAACTACTTTGAATTGACTCACATTCATAGAATCATAAAATGGTTTGGGTTTGAAGGGTAAAATTATCTAAAATCACCTCCCTTGACCTGCTAACTGCACTGCTCTTGATAGGTTTGGCTTTCTGGGCTGCAGGCACACATGGCCAGGTCATGTTGAGCTTCTCATTAACCAGCATCCTCAAGTCCTGCTCCTCAGGGCTGCTCTTAATCTATTCCCTGCCCAGCCTGTATTTGGATTGCCCCAATCCATGTGCAGAACCTTATTTTAAGAGCTCATATATAAGAGCAGTCACTGTAAATCAGCAAATTTACAGAACACTTGCTATTCCTCAGTAATTTCTTTAGGGGTCTGTATTCTAGAGAGAAAAGTATTGCTGAAGTGGGAAGTAAAAAATGTAAGTAGCAATTAGATTTTCTCTTAAATACTCAAATAGCTCCAAGGTTTTGTTTTCTCTGAAAAATGTTCTCAGTGAGTGTATTTGGTGCTCTTGCAACACACGGCATGTTTCAGCTTCTTTGGGGATTTAGGATTTAGTTTTTTATACCTTCAGATTTTAAGGCAAATGGAAGTGGAAAAAAAATGCTTACGTATGAATGCCTTGCTTTAATTGTTTTACATTTGGTTGTGGTCCTTTCTCAAACAGCAAGACCAATATAAATGCCATGCTTAGGAAGACTAAGAAGAAAACCAGAATTCCCTCTGTCTTAAAATTTTGTCTAAAATGGCAGCTATGTCTTTGAGATGCTATTTAATTAACATCAGAGGAAAACTGTCAGTAATCAGTACTGCTGAGTGGTTTATTTACTTGGAAAAAAATATGGGTTGCAGTGCTTAACTTTCATCTTTTAAGTTTAGAAGTTTTGGTACCAGTGATATAATTTGCAAAGTTATCTCTAGGCAATTAAAATATATTCTATCATTTAACCTTTGGATGATATATAAATATGCATAGACACTCCTACAAGGCAATTTGTCTGCCAATCTGGAAAATGCTAACGCTGTAGTCAATAAGTCAACAGTCTGCAATGTTAAATTATGAAATCAGAAAGAAGTGCAGTTGGCATTCAATCCAGATATAAAGATCCTAAGGATTTCCAATTTTCTGTGTGGGGCAATAAATTTCAAAGACGACTGTATTCTGCCCCAATAATCACGATCTGCACAGCATGTTCAGGTATTGTTGGAGAGATTAAAACCACAAAAACAGAGCAGAACAGCTCAGCATCAGATAATCACAAGCAATTCCATGTCAGCGACAGACAGCTGGAGACATATGCCAACAATATTGTAAAAGTGGGAAAATGGCGATTTCGTGACAGCGAGGACATGGGTTTCATACATTAAGCTAAGTTTCAACCCAAAACATTAAAACTGGTGTTCACAAGTAACAGCTCTCTGTCACAGGGTTCAGAAAGTCTACTATTTAGCATAATAACTATGTAAAGCAAAATTAGGCAGAAGAAGATATTTGTTTTTCTAATATTTTGCATGCTGAGCACCTATTTGATTTCAGTGTTATCATGGATAAAGAGATCAGAATATTTTTTGCCTGATCAGCTGGAAGAGCTGTCCAGTTATGGACCAGACAAATTATTTGTGAGAATCTTGTGTGGAAAAGCAGATAGATGGAATTTTATCTACAAATATTTGTCTAAAGATTTTTTTCTTCCAAGTAGTTTAAAAGAAAATGAACAAGTCTTGACCTAACTTGAGTTATTCTGTTTTTCACTTTCCCTTGAGTTTCAAGTGTCCCTGTTCTTCTCTGATACTCATTCCCATCTATCCCGGCTTTTGTCTTTCACTTTTTAAAATTAAACATCTACTAAGAAGTAAGTCCAAAAATAAAGCCTGAAAAAATCCTATTATATTTATTGCTGTGAAGCAGGAGTACAGGGAAAATACTTAGACTTGTGAAGCAAAAAATAATCTACCTTTCCACTGGTTTCTCTCAGAGCTTCCCTTATAGACCCATAAAATAATTTTCTTTCTTTTTTTCTGTAGGAAACCATGTAAAATCAAGATAAAAAATTTCAAGGCTCTGAACCCAATAAACCCCAAGTTTCCTATTTTCACAAAGAGTTCTCAGAAAACCCTTTGTATGTTGGATTTCTTGTAAAAATGGGAAATAGCTTGAAAATATTCATGAGGAACTAAAAATTGTTCTGATGAGTTCACTTCCCCTGCATATGAAGAGCAGTTTCACAGTGATGTTTTATAGAGATGTCTGGGCCTGAATTTTTTCTGATTTTACTGTTCAAGCCTTGCCTTTGTATCTCAAGTGTTTTGTCCTGGAATCTCACCGTGATTCCTGAAGCTGTGCCTCGCAGGGAGGGTAATGGAGACAAGTGGCTTGTGAGGAAGCTCAGGCCCAGGTCCCTGAGGTGTTTGGATTTTAGGACTCAGAGCCTGGTGCAGATTGAAGAGTGATGTAATTCTTCAGGCGCCGCTGAAAGAGTTTGAAACACCAATGCAATAAGAGGCGTCAGCGGGGAATGGCAGATTGATTGCAACAACTAATGCCAAAAAGTTCTGGAAAGAAGAAAAATGTAGTCTGATGAAAAGAAATAAAGAAGAAAGGAGGGAAAGGATAGTAAGAGCTTTCACGCCTCCGGCAACCTCCCTGTGGATCGATGTGCATCGGGGACTATTAATCCTATGACTGTTTTTTTACACTGGTGTGTAAACCTTGATGATGCCGTTCAGTCCAGATCAGCAGGTTGGATTGACAGGATCTACCCTAAAAATCAACTTTACTGAAATTTGAGTGGATTGATGAAGCTCGTCTTTTGGATCAGTGGAAGGCCACCACCTCCAGATGAGAGATCGCCCATCAATTTAGGGTAGGAAGGACCATTCTCTCCTGAAGTGATTATTACTTCCTCAGATATGGAGCACAGACTGGACACATGGTGTTGGTGTGGCTGAAGCAATATAGGGTAAGTTTTAAACTACCCCTTCTCCTTTCTCCACAGATTAATACCTCAGCTACCTTGTGTGGTAGCTTTTTTAAACAGACAAGAACAGAAATGCCTGATTTTGGGATGCAGTGAACCACACTCTGAACCATAAACCTCTGTTGATGTGTGAACAGAGGCCCAAAGCCTCAGTATATCTGATCCTGAGAGGCTCACAGAGAAACAAAGATGATATTCCAGCCCTACAGAGCCCATGCACAGCACCCATCTGCTGTCACAGCAGGATGTGGCTGCAACAATCCTATATCTAATGATTAAAACCTGCTTTAACTTATGTTTGGGTCACTACCATGCAAAATGCATTACAGCAGCCTCCATGCTCCTCTCCAGCTGGAGAACAGCCCATCAGATCAGCACTGCTGGAGGAAAACTAAAGCCACCTCACAGTCTCACCTTACCCAGGCCAGAACACTGACTGGTGCAAAAAACATGAATCAGGAGTAAAACAGAGGGCTGAATACATTAATCAAAATGATCCCTGTTGCAAGATCTGCAAAGAACAAAGAAAACAAATCCAAGGAAAGTTAACATTAGAAACCATTTGCAAGGCTGCACAAGTCAGCTAATGAAATAACTGTCAATTGTAGACACAAACCTTTTGTGCTTTCACACAATTTAAATATAAAGTAATTTGCATTCAGGTATCCAAGTCTCCCTGAAAAAAAGATTAACAATAGGATTCGCTTTCTTTCTACAACCTTTTTTCTCCCCCCCTTCCCCCCAGGGGTGGCTCTGATAAGGTCACCTTATTAATGCAGATCTCTGTTTTTCAGAAAGCAGCCAGGAGTTTAACTGTTTCACTGTGAAATGATCTATGAGATGAGAACAGTCCATTTTTTATCCTTGATTGATCATTTCAGCATATATAACAGCAAATCCTAAGGGACACCACTCAAATCCCTGCCTCAGAATGACCTAGAGACTCAGCTCTAAAAAGTGTTGCGCTCCACTACACAATCCTTCAGCGTTTTTTCTTAACTTCACATTTTCCACTGAACATAATAAAGTTGCCTTGCATCATTACAGTTCTCTACAGAAAAAAAAAATCTCATAAATAAGTAAAAAGTTTTAACGGCTGAGAATTGGGTGCCACTGCAGCGTGCTGCGGAGCTGAGCCATCAGGCAGTTAATGCCTTTTCCCTAGACACAAAGGCAGGAGCAGGTCTATGATCTCAATTCAGGTGTCACGGCTTCTCATTTCCTTCCCTGGCCACCAGACACCTGTTTCCCTGCTCTTAATAGCCTGTGATGGGAACTGCCTGGTGCCCAAATCACAGGCTCTGGCTCCTGTATGATGAGTTGAAAATAAAGCGATTGCCCTTTATTTTTTTTTTTTTTAGTTATTTACTGTGTCTAAGCTTTATCTCAATTCCATTGTTGGGTTATTCTTCTCCATTCTGTGTGCTTCCAGCCAACTAATCTTCATTTTGCTTTTTTTGATGACTTTATGCTGACATACACAGAGACCTTAAATAAATCATTACGATTATAAATAGCAATGGCTGGATTACAAAGGATTCTGGAACACTTGTGATAGTAAATTAGCAGGCAGGCAAACCTACAGCTGCCAGCAGCTGATGTAATATTTTAGAGAATTGTTTTCTAGATTGTGTAAGGGAGAATTGTTGTCCTTTGAGCTTCGTTCTCAGTTTCTTTCAATCTGTCAAACAGTTCAACAATATGATGTTCACACAAAGTTCACAGAGAAACAGCTTATAAATCCCAAATATCATACACACAGACTGGGGAAAATGCAAGCCTGTCTCAGGCTTCACAAGCTAGAATTTAGGGAAAAAAAACTCCACAGAGATATCTGTCTATTGCTAACAGCACCCCTGAACAGATAGATATTATATCCACAGAAACAGCTACCACATCAAGGAACATTTGCACAAATTTCCCCCTTTTTTCCTTCTATCCTTTCTTCATAAACATCAAACTCCAACAGGCTATTGTGTTATAATAGTGCAGCCTGTAAATTCCTGTAATCAACTGATGGAGCAACATTAATTATGGAGACTTTGTACAGGCCACATGCGTCTTTACATCCCTTTATAAAATGCTGACACATTCCCCATCTAAAAGGGATTACAATCACAGAGGATGATCCTGCAAATGCCTACTATTGAATGCAGCATTTTCTATCATGACTAAGCCCACTGAAGCTACCAGAAACTCACATGGCCAGACAAAAAGCTCTGATTCACATATATGACTAACAGAGGCGTTCAGACCATAACATTTTCTATCTGACTATGCTTTTGCAGACTGAGATTTAGGGGGCTGATGCTTTCAGACTTGAGAATCAGTCTGGGACAGCAGGCTGGCTGTGTGATGACGCAGGTAAGAGGTGCAAGAAGAGGTAGTGGGTGCCCTCAGAAATAAACTTAGAGAAGGAAGACAAAATTTGGGAAGCTGTGTTAGGAAGGCATCAGGTATTTATGTTGTAATGAGGATGAAGTTGAGATGGGAGGGGTACACGACGTGGAAGGGATACAGGAGAAAATAGCAGAGATATACTAAAGACAAGATTTGGATTAGGTGGGATTTAGCCAGCAGAGACAGAAGGCTCAGCGCTAATATCAAGAAGATGGGAAGCAATAAAAGGATTCAAAGAGCAAGAGGCTTATTTGTGAGCAGCAGGAGAAGTGATTCTTAGCCAATCCATTGCACTTTGGTAGTAGCTGTTGCTCAAAGGCAGCATACAGAAGGTGAGGTCCACCAAAAACTCTCATAAACCCCCTGATTACAGCAGAGTCAGGTTCCTGATCCTGTGCTGGTCTGGCAGGCGAGTCTGTGGGGTGAATCATGCAATGAAGCAACCTTACAAATACCATATGAAAGTAGCTCACGTAGAGAGCATCCTGGGATGGAATGCCCTTGAATTGAAAGGAATATGTTGTTCCTTGGCACAACATGTAACTGCCTTTCACTTGTCTCATTTGTAGAGAGTGATTTTAGTCTTTGGCAGCGATGAGTGGCACATGTTGGAGGTGTTTTGCCTAAGGTGTGCTATTTCATTAGCTGAATGTTGCTTAACAAAGCCTCATCATTTCAGAAGACACACTGTAATGAATTATTTGCAGGTTATCACTGATAGATACATAAAATCCACTGAAGGCATCAATTGTCACTCAGCAATAGCATGGCCTGAATATTTATTACCTTTTATTTACTTCATGTGTATTCTATATCATGGACACGTAAGAATTCTAAGACACGTTAAAAATCGTTTCTGCTGATAAACATCGACAATGTTAAAATCAATCTCTTTTCATCCCCACCCAAAACAAAGCAATTCTCTCTCCTCCTATTCCCCTGTATTAGGGCTATAGGGAGTTTAGGGAGAATTCTTGCTACAGTGCCTGGTCTTGGGCAGCTCATATTCTTCCACAAATGCCCCTAAAAATCACCATTAGCATGCAACAATCCAGGGAGGGACAGAATAAAGCAAGAAAGGAAGATTAGTGTAACAATGATTAGCTTTAGCGTAGAGCATTATAAGGTCAAATTTCTGGTTGCTGGTCTGGGTGACTATTTTTACAGCACAGTGTAACTGAGAAAGGGGCTGCTGACTATTCTCAGGTTTGTGTTAAGGCTCTTGGTATGCCCAGCGGAGATGAGAGCTTTCCCAACAGCGTGACACCCCACAGGGCTGGCTTTACCTTAGTTTTCCATATTAAATTCCTGCCTGTTGAATATTAAAGGTATACCTTCAATCACAGACTATGCAAATATTGACAACATTATTCTGAAAATCTTTACTTCCCAAAGTGATTTTTAAAAGGCTATTATTACTTGAAAGTTTAGCGTCTTTAGGATTACACTATCTGTGTACAGCAACTTTGGGATGACATGCCAAAGAGAAGTATGTCTGGCAAAGATGGAAAAAAAACAGAGAGAAGATTTTAAAATTACTTCAAAATACAACTTGAAGCCACAAACATGTCCCTTTTAAGAGAAGGAATGAACACTTATCTTACATTTTGCTTTTTAAAGAATAAACCATATGAGAAGAGATCTCAAGGTAGTTCAGAATAATTGTAACACTGCAGCTAAAGGGTTATTACTCTTCACTTTGCAGCAACATGGACTTCCATGAACTTGGGATGACAGGTACAAACCCAGGACTGGCAATAGGTCAGAACACAACAAGGCTACAATGGGGAGTGCTCACAGCAAGTTTGGATCATGAAATATAAAGCCCTCCTGCAGAGACAAGGCAGATGGAATAGCTGTGCTTTTTGTAATAAAACACATCATCCGATTCACATTTCTATCATCAGGCTGTTTTTTGGTTTCGTTTGTAATTTGCATTAAACATCCTGAGTTGAGCCTGGATTTCATTGACGTAAATAGACTAATTTTTTTAATGACCTTCACCTGCTGGTTATATACCAGTCTCTTAGGTCCAAAAGGGATTTGAGGATAAAGGAAAATATAAAACCAAAGCAAATCAAAAGAACAAGCCTAACTGGATTAAAATAAATAAGCCTATATATACTGTCCTCAATTATTGACAACTCTTTGGATTGTTACTTCTGAATTGAAGTTGACATGCCTGCATTTGATGCACTAAAGCAGTTTAAAGCTGATACAGAAATTTAGGGGCTCAACTCCTTTCTTAACATAAAACTAGAGTGTTTTGATATGTTGGAACTGGGGCAATTAGTAATGATACATTTGCTGACAGGTCTTGAGCAGGAACAATCACAAACACTGTGCACCCAGTACAAGATTTATTTGTCAGAGTGCATGCTTTTTAAATCTGAGTAAAAATGGATTTTGTAAACTGATTGAGATTAATTAAAGGTATAACTCAGGGAAGGAAAAAAAATGACTCACTGCACATTTATTTTCAGATCATTTTTCACTGGAAAGTTTGCAGGTCTAACGAGCAGAAGCTACTGACACAGTGTGCAAATGGTTCTGCTTTCACATCACAGGAGAGGGATTTTTTTCTCATTTTTCTTTCCTTGGCTTGTCTGAAAGCCAGGTGTCCAGTCCACGAGGTTCCTGCCAAGGCACCAGGGAAATATGTATATTTCTGAGCAGAAGCTGACCTTACTACTTCAGGAAAGAGTAAGAGTATGATTCTGGAAGGTCTGGGAAAATACTCTCTGTATGAAATTTCTCAGCAGTCAGGAAGCAAATATAGAAGAGCTTAAAATATAAATTTTTTTAATGTATTTTTTTTTAATGTTTGAGACTATAAACACCAAAGAAGAAAAAGAAAGTGATGTAAATTATAAAGGCTTCAGCAAGTGGTTGTAGGCTGCATTGTTCCAGTGTAAGCCTATGGCTTTAGCCACTTCCCCAAAAGGCTTTTTGTACAACTCCAGCTTTCATTGTAATTTAAAACAAAACAAAAAACCAAACTCCAATATATTTGTATTTCAGATGATTCAGCTGCTGTAAATTAATACCCCAGGAAAGACCTGAAGTGACACCCATGCAGTTCTGTCCGTATCACTCTTCCTGCTCACCAGCTGCCTGGTGCAGCTGGTGAACAGGGCCCAACCCTTCAATCCCTTACCCAAACCTCTGCTTTTTCCCTGGAGAAGCTGGGGAACAGCTCTCCTTCAGCACACACCTTTCACACAGGTGGGCAGGACCCCAAAGCCCCAGAATCAATAGTGCCATAAAACCTCATAGCAGCAGCAACCTGATTTTTTTCTTGCAAGCAAGAGCAGACATTCCACCACCTGCCTGGAAGGAATGTTCTGTGGGACAACACAGGGAAGTTCATCGAGGTGATTTGGAGAGGTGAAAGGCAGGTACATGGTCCCTGGGAGAAATTTAATGGGCAGTGAGTACCAAACCAGACAAAACATGACTGGTTCTCTTATTATCCAGTGTGAAACCCAGCAGAGATTTCAGGGCTTAACATGATATTGTGAAACATCAAAATTATCAATTGTGCCCAGACCTAAGGACAAAATATTATTTGCCAAAATATAGGGCAAAACTTCAATGTAAAAATGGACATTCAGAAACAAAAGGACATTTTTTAAAATGTGATGTTACTCCAAAAGTTCCTTCAGGTGTTTTTACTCAGTGTTTCAAAGAGCTTGTTAACAGAAAGACTCCTCAAAGTCTGCACCATTTCCATCCATTCCACTGCCCTGCTCAAAGGGGCAAGTCCTCAAAGCAACACATTTGAACAACAGAAATAAATGGAAAGTGAAAAGAAAGTTCAGCAGCCAGAGCTGCTGCCTATGCTTGGTTATTCTGGTACTGCTCTCTGGGGATCACTCTGCTCCCAGCCAGCATCTGCAGAGAGAGACTCTTGCTACCTCCAGCCAGGCCAGAAAGGATAATCTATCTGAGTGCCTGTGAAAATCACATAATCCTTTTCCATCAGGATTAATATCCAATGTCACACCAGTCTGATACATACAGGATGAAGTCTGACACTTCTTGTTATAAAGGTCACGCAAGGAAACAATCTCTGCCTCCCCAAAGCAGAACCCATAAGTGACAAATTTCCATTCACCCTGTGTGTGTGTTAAAGAGGAAATCTTCATCATCACCATTTTTATTTATTCCTGGGAACAATTTCCACCTGGTGAGCCTGGAGCCTGCATCTGGGTAGTTTTGTTCCAGCTGCAGCAATAGTTTAATCGGAGTGAAGCTAACAGCAGCATCCCTCCTTCCCTGTGTGGTTCAGCTGCTGCCTGTCCCCCTGCAGAGATACCTGTAGTGATTCTTGCAGGAGAAAAATGACCCATTTTCAGGTACACACAAAGAAGCATTACAAAATAAACCAAACTGCTGCCTGCACTTCATCACAAGTTACAGCAACCTCATCACCTGCAGAAAATGTGTTATTACATATATGAGACAGATCATAACTGGAAGTTGGAGGCTCAATAGTCATAAATTCAGGTACAAGCAGTAAGGAAATGTATTTTTCCTCATTCATTTTTAGCCAACAGTATGTGAACAGCAGTTTGAAAAGCTGGTGAAGCAAGGAGGCTTGGAACAACTACAGCACATTCAATCGACATAAGGACGGGATCAGGTCTTGTTATGTATTCATCTTATTCCACCTTGTTAAAATCTAATCCAACTTGCACCATCTTCAAGACCTGGAGCAGGCCCAGAAGAGCAAATCAAGCTTTCCTCAATGACATAGAGCAGGCAGGTCCTGCCTTTTGGGATTATTAAAAGATCCCATTTTACATCTTAACCCTGCGGGCAGAAACAAGTCTGCAAGTCACCTTACATGAAGAAATGAAGGAAGGTGTTACATCATTAAAAGCCAGGCTAGTATTTCTAAGTGGAGGCACACACATTAACTAATTGAATCACTATCTTCTTATCTTGAGGAACCAAGCTGCTGTTACTCCAAATTAAAATGCAAATGTTCACCATCTTTCAAATAGTAATGTGAATTTGAAGTTGGGGACTGGCCTTTCTGTAAGCTTTAACTGCTCTCTCTGCTCTCCAGGCTTGCAAACAGACAGTGTTATTCTGATTGCTCACACTGCTAAAGTCTAAATGTCTATCCATACTGGTATTTTGCCAACTTTTGCCATCTTCAGCCTCAATGTTTTGTAATTTTTCATAACAGTTCAATACTTCATAAACAATGTTCCTTAGGAAATAATAGGTATACATACATCTTACTGATAGTATAGGCATCAGCTTGCTAACAGCCTTTCATAGAGACCAAACAATTCATAATAAATTACAGAATTAGGAAATAAGTTATCCAGACTGAGTGTCCTGTTCCTCCCCCTTCATCATTTTCAGGGATTCTTTCACTGGTATTGACTTGAAAATACCACAAAAAAATATTACAGGACAGGATTAAAATTCAGAATGAGCATGACAAATTGAAGAAAGAAACTGATGAAAAAATGGTGACAGATCAATAAGGACGAGGTTATACATAAGAAATATCTAACTGAACAAATACGAGCTAGAAGACAACCTGAGAGATTTTACAAGAAACTGTGACATATCTTAAATCAGAAACTCAACCCAAGTCAACAGCATCAGACTTTACAAATGAGGCAAATATGAAATATAGGACTTGATCTGCCTGCTCTGTTCAGCTTTTGTACAGCCTGGGCTGGAGCAGTGGAGCAATTGTGCAGAGCCTGCCTGGGCAGAGCAAGGACTGGTACAGAGATGGCACATGGGAAATGGCTGGAAGGAGTGAGGTTGTTTGGTCTTAAAAAAGACAAATTTGAGGTATTTGAAAATCTGTTGTGGAAAAGGAAAGGAATGATTCAGTCTGTATTGTGGAAGGGGTAGAAGCAATGGACTTTTTAGTTCAGCAGGGTCAGTTTAGTTCAGCCATCAGCAGAGTGCTGACCTGAGACTGTGGGATGGGGATGGGGAGTCTCTGTCTCTCGAGGTGACAAGACATCCCCCAGGCATGGTCTGTGTTTCCTTGGCTTGGGTTGGGCCAGATGACACCCCAGGAATCTCCTGAGACAACTATCCAAGACTCTGTGGCATGATCTCTAGTTAGGTGCTAACCCAAAGGAAACAACTTCCAGCTCCACTCTTGCAAAATTCCAGAATTACACTGTGTATTCCTGAGCCCAGACCCCTGGTATTTTAGGGGAATGAAAAGCACAACAGAGAGATGTTTGCTCCTGCCTTTTGCCTGCAGCAAACCCAAATGCATGGCAGTGCCACATGGCCCTGCACGTCCTGCAGCAGGGCAGGGAATTGTCCCAGAAGCATTGGGCAGAGGGGTTAAACAGCTCCACTGCAGTTAAAGACTGCTCAGCAACGTGGTCACACCAGTCACAGCCTGGAAATGCATCCCAGGCTTGCTCCCGTGGGAAGTGCAGGTGTACCTCATGAAACAGAGGCTACTTCAGCAGGAACAAACAGGAGGAATTTAACCATATGGACTGAAACAATAAATTGCTGTCACATGTGTCAACTATTCCTTTTATTTAGTCAACAACTATCCAACTCAGTATATTTGCTGTGAAGGAGGGAGAGAAAAGCTAGCAAAACCAAAATGAACTCTCAAGGGGAGGAAAAAAATAACCTTTTAAATGTTTTTTTTGTGAGCCATATTTTTAAGCATTTAGTCACATTGACTTTTTAAGGGAGAGAAATACACATAATTTGCACTTTGGGATAAGTTGAAGGTGTCCATGCAATTTCATGGATGGCAGAATACCAATTTTTCTTAAATGATAGAGTCACACCACATGTCTCTTATTTAAATGACCTGAAAATAAGAGATATGAAGGCATAAGCAAGAACAGAAAATGAACCTAAATATATAAAACTAGTGCATTGTGTGATATTTCTTGGTGTGTCTTTCACTGCGAGTACCAAGCCCACTCTTGGACATTGTTATCCCTGGCATTAGCCCTCTTCGGAGTGGTCATCCTCATCACAAGCAACCCAGAGCTCTGCTGGGTGTGTACACAGCAGCCAAACACTTAGGGAAACTCCTGACTCACTAAAAAAGCCAGGAGATGGAATTTTTGTTGATAAAACCCATACTGTGTTGGAAGAGCAATATAGCCCTTCTGTGGGACCCGTGGTATAATAAAAGCAGCAAAAGCTGGATGCCATCCAGGATTCCCGTAGCATTTGAAACATTGACATTGCAGGAATTTTATTTCTGAGTTGCAACAAACAAATGAGGAAAAAAAATTAAAGAAGTTAAAAGTGAAGTATCCTGAAGACAATAATACCAGATTTCGTTTTAAAAACTGAAATATTTAGTCTTATTTAAAAAATTCAAACTTAGCATCATTCCACATTTTCTCTCAACTTCATGAAGTAAACTTTGGCTTCATGTACTTTAACTCCTCTTCCCCTATTTATTTGCTTTTTTTTCTATACAGTTTCCCGAGATCCCGCTGTGTCCTCTCTCACTTTTCCTATTTCTCAGAGGAACCGATAGTAGAAAGTTTTCATATATTTTTCTCTCTATTTTTCCCAGTAACTACTCTGAAATCAACTGTCCATCTGAAATGCCAGAAAGCCTTCAACATCAATGTTCTTTGCCTCGAGTTTACCCAGCTATTGCCTTCTCTGAGCTTGTAGTCTCATACCTTCATGAAAATAAAAAACCTCTCCTGGATTTTAGGTAACACCTGACTTCTGAATGAAGTTCTTGACATCCAAATCAAACAGGGATGTTTGACTCCCAGCAGCAGCAGCACCCAATGTGCTGCTCTAATCCAGGAGGTCGCTGTCTTCTTGGTCTTCCCAGGCACATCTGTCCCTCAGATCCTTGTCAGCCCTTAATCTGAGCATAACTCTACCCACACATCCTTCATGCAAATAACTTCTTAGAAATACTTTTCCAAGAAAGCACATCAGTGTGAGTCCAGAGAAATAAATGACAGAGGTAAACATGTTTGGAAAATTCAGAGTGAGTGAAATGTAACCTCCTCTGCTTGGAAATTCAATCACCATGAAATTCTCTGGCATTGTGTATCTTTATTTATTATTCCCATTTATGATCGATTCCTGTTTCCACTCACCTCAGTGGCATCTGAGTGGGTTATGAGATCTTAACTTCCACTGAGAAGAAAGCAAATGTTCATTTACATCAGCCAAAGTGGCAGAGCACGTCTGTCATCCATAAGACTGTCAGTAGACAACTTGTTCCACCTGTGCAGGGGCTCATTCTGTTTTGTGGCAAGTGGAATCCCACTTTCAGATTGGATCATTTCATACACAACACCCTTCTGAATGCCCAGGGGCCAAACCTGTGTGAGTCCTCACTCAGGGATAGGTAAGACATGAAAGATGGTGCCTCACTCCCCAGCCAGGATGCTGCAGTCAGCAGCTTTCAGAAATGAATCAGTGGCTCATTTTTCCCTTCACATTCTTCATGCACTGTATAAGTGTTTAATAAAAGCTTTACAGTAGTGCTTTTCTTTTGCCTAATTCTTTTTAATTTTCCTGCGCTTTAATTAGCTGCATTTAATTCACACAAAATAAAGTATTAGGTTTTTGCTTTCCTCTGGGCCAAGTCATTGTACTTCCAGGAATCATTAAAGTACACATGAGCCCGGCAATGTAAACTTACTTGTAATATTAAAAGGACTATTTAACCAGAGCAGTAAGTGTTGATTTCCTTTCCAGATTTGTCACAGTTCAAATGCTGAAAGCGAGTAAATAGTATATTTCATTACACACATTATTCTGACATTTGTTCAAATAATATGCTTTGTTTTGTATGACCTTAAGAAAAACAAGTGCCTTTACTTCAGAGCAGAATACGTCCCTTTGACTTGTAAAGAGCAGCAGATTTCAACATGGTTCAGTACTAAGACATCCGTGTACAATTCCACTGTAATTAATTCTGAGTTTGGGGGGCTTTTTGAGGCTTCTTAGTTTTAACTGTGTCATCTCTGGGAGCTAAGAAGTAGTTGTTCTGGTCATATTTGGAGGGAAGGTGTGTTAAGCAGTGAACAGCAGTGTTTCCAAGTGCTCATTCCACATACCGAAATAAAGGAATTCATAACAGCAGCACCCAGCATTTCTGCAGCACTGAAACACCCACCCATTCCTGGGGTGGGGAAAAGTGCGAAATCTAAAGGATTTATACAAATATAGATGTGCAATTCAGAGCAAACTAGGACAATAGAAACATCCTGTTAGGCAGTGCACAATGAGCGCAGAAGAAATTTCATATGCACATTCTCTAATTGCTCTGAGAGGGGAGAAGAATAATAACCTAACGCTGAATAGTTATGTTATAACTGAGAAATCATTTCTTTTCCTGAATTTCTGATGGAAAAGGGTAGTGTCCCTTGACTTTGCTGCTGTTTTACATGAACTGTGGTCCTTGCAGAAGCACTCCCTGTCCCTGTGTGACAGAAACCAGAGGGAGCAGCCCAGAGCCCAGGCCAATGGCTCAGTCACACCGGAGCCCTGCACACCCACCCAACAGCAACATCCATCACGTTATAAATATCCCATTCCATTCTCTAGCAGATGGAGCACAGCACTTGCCTCGCTAATCAGCAGAATATAATTCACCTAAACTCTCAAACCGAACGCGTTCTCGCAAGGGGAAATTACTCAGATTCACCGACTGCTTTTCTGAAGGAGTACAAACCGCAGAGGGGAGCGTGTGCCTTTGCTGACAAAAGCTCAAAGAAAAATATTGAAAATTAGGGAAAGACAATAAACAGAAAGCCCCATATGTTGTGGGAAAAAAAAAATAATAAGCTGATGTGCTTACTGGCTTACCAAAAAAACAGACTTAATTTACTTCAAGAATTGAGATGTTTTCTTTATTTTACTTTAAACAGAACAGAGAAGGTACTGTGAGGCAGATTTTTTGAGCTATTTAAACATAAAACTTCTAAAAAATGATAGGTTTACCATCCTGAGTTCCATTTGCATTTTCTGGCCGTTCACATACCTTAGAATATGCAGCAACTAAAGGTGGGGAGCAAGAAAGGAAAGTGGGGAAAGGGAAATGTAAAGAAATGTTTAAAAATACAACACATCGATATTGTCGATTTGGAAACAAAATGAAAGGCAAACCCAGAAAGGCCCAAACTCTGAAAACAGACTGATAACCGCACGAAAATAAAGGTTTCATGTGGAAGCTTCTTTCCTATTTCAATCCAGTTTTCAGCTTTTCAATGCTACCAGTTCATTCCATGGTGGGTACCATTGTTCTCTCTTCCCTGGATTCTCATATTTCTGTACCAGGTAACAACAACAGGCAACTCTCAGATGTTCAAGAGAGTAACTGAGCACCTCAGCTCTTCTGCCTGTGATCAGCAGCTGGTATTTTAAAATCCCCTGACTCAGACTTCAGGACCCTTGTGCAGAGGGAAGTCAGTCACAATTAAAGCAGAAGTTTCTACCCTGCTTTACACAAAACGAGACAGATCAGGGAGGCAGCTCCCTGTGGGCATTGCTCAGCATCATCTGATCACCCCCTATCTGCTGAGACAAATGAATTTCTAGTAAAAATCATGAACTGTAGGAACATCAAAAATCCCTGCAAGTAGAACATTCCTAGAAGCGCAGAAATTGCTTTTGACCTTGAAAGGGAACTATTGAGAGCGAAAGTGTATGAAATTCAGACGTCAGGAAAGAGCCTGATTTGAGGAATCCATTCATCTGAGTAAATGGCAACTTTACAACATCAGCATTGTAATATGTGTGCCCACACGAAGGGCTGGGTGGCAGCCTGCAGTGTGTGTTCCTTGGGAAGAGGGAGAAATTCCACCTGGAGCTGTGCTCAAGGCCAATTTACAGCCCTGTATAAGGGACATATTTTATTTAACTGAAAATATGTCAGGAAAAGCATTACCTTGCCTTATCCAAGGAACTTCTGTGCAATTTTTCTGATTCTTCTGCAGTTTCTAAATGAAAATGCCATTCTGCCTATTGGCTTATTATCTTACCAGGACTGAGAAATTAAAATGACACATAGGTCTTGTGCATGTGCCTGTAAACTCTTACCTGAATTTAAGCCTTTTTGTAAAACAAACATGAAATTTGCCTGTTTCACAACAATTCCTGTAACAATGGAGTTCTGTTAGCCTGTTTATCTAATCCTGATACAAATAAATTAAAAAAAAACCCAACAAAACAAAAAAAAGCAAAAAAACCCTGATGCTTCAAAAGAACCAATTATTCACAGACAGCCAATCAGGCAAATTTGAACTGTGGGAAACCTTTAAACTTTTGAAACAAGAGCAAGCTGAATCCTCCTTTAGGCAGCCTGAAGCTTTCAGCCTCCCTTGAAACACTGATGGGATAAACTGCTACCAGACTGGAAATGGCTCAGAAAGAGCTGGAAAGTGAGATGCCAAGAGAAAAAAGGGACTGCACAAGGTGGGAAAGAAAGGTCATGCTAGTGTTGGGGAAAGACCAGGAGAAATTTTTGAGAATGTTTCTCTTTGCACATGAGCCATAATGAGCTGGGTGTAAAACTAAAGGGCCAAATTATGTATTATGAAAGAGTTCTAAATGACGGAACATATGCGTTAACATATTTCAAGTGATATGTTTTAAAAACATTATCAAGCTTTTATGCACATGTTGCATCGTTCAGCTCCTAAATTCTGCTGCGAGATCTGTGGGAGGAGATAGCCTGCTTGCTTTGATTCCCAGCCTTCACTTTGTGTGCTGCCTGAACACACTCCCAAATGTGCTTGGAGAACAAAATTAACCCCTGACGTGCAACCACACAGCACAGTCATGTGGTAGCTGCTTGTTCATTGAAACAAGGAAATCCAAGCACACTTCTTCACCACCAGGTGACTCAGGAACACCTGCACTGCACTTATGGAACACCCAAAGATGGCTGGACAGGTGCTCTTTTTGCCTCTGCTCTAGAGGTATATTCAGAAATAACTTATGTGCACGGTAATGTTTTAAGGTGTTTCATATTTATTATCAACCTCTTTATATGCTCATAGAGGAAATACCCCAGACATCTGAAAGCACAAAGGGCAGTGAATGTTAACCAAGTCCTGATGTGCAGCTCCTTTTTTGGCCAGTGCACCCTTGACCAGACTGCACAAGGGCTGGAGCACTACCCTACAAAAACACGGCTCCAGCTGATCCTAAAACACACTGACACACACAACTGGTATTCATATTGAGCATTTCAGCATCAATTATGGAGATCAAGGGGTTTGTTTGATGAAACAACTTCAGGAGTCTGACAGGTATTTACTGTACAAGTCAAATAAAAGACATCTGAGAGATGCAAGAGCCCAAATCCGCAGTGACAGTGGGGCAGGACACAGGAATTGGCAACAAAACTTTACAATGATTTGAAATCCCAAAATGGTCATTAGGGATTTTAGGATAGAAATAACTACGCAAGGAAGCCATGAATGCCAGCCTTGCTTTGTCTTTAAATGGGTATTCAAAATCTAAAGTCCAATTTACTTGAAGGAAGCTAAAAGAAACTTGAAGCTTACGCGTAGTGAGTAGGTTCAAAGAGAGAAGTTGTGGTTACAGCAACAGGCTGTGGATATTTCATGTTAGCAATTGCTGCAACACCACACGATTACCAGTGCTGGGGAAGAGTGATCTGACAACTGAAAATAGGAAGAGAAGTGGCAGCAAGGTTAAGGCACGGACAATACTATGGAGAAAAAGGCTCTGGCTCCTGTCTCAGTAATTTATTTGCTAGCATTGGTGGAAGTAGAATAGGGATATTTTCTGTCATCTTCATTTTCCTAAGATTTTGTTCCTCTTATGAGTAGGGAATTTAAGCTGGTACGTGGGTGAAAGCAAGAACTCATGAAAATAAACATGAAACAAACTGAACACCCCACATGTCTGTGGTTTGATCCTGTGCAGCACACGCTGCTGGAGCCTGCAAGGAGAAGTGTCACTGCCTAGCCCTGCTCTCCCATCCCTCCCTGAGCAGTGCCACTCAGCATTGCCAGGGGTAGGATTGCTCCTTGGCACAGGAATAACTTCCCTTCTCTGTGCAGCTCCATTTTTACCACAATCCCAAAGAAGTCCAGAAAACCTTTCCCACTGGACTGCCAATAAGAGGTAGAGATTATTAAACACACACAGAGACTCTTTCAAGGGAAATTTTAGCAGCTCAAGGCCATATGGTTCTTCAGCAGACACTGGACATCAGCTACTGCATTTTAGCTGCAGTGACACCAACAGAGAGCACACGTCCAGCCTGCTCTCACCAACATCTACAACATCACTCACTAAATCAGCCCTTCATTGCACCACTCCACCTTAGAAGAGATGATAAACTTTGCTCTTCACCACAAAACTTCAAAATGGTTTGTCATTCAGGTGTCTGAATAGTTCATAGAAGGTAAAATTGCTCCTGTGACAGCATTACCTGTTAATCGTCTACCCACTGATAGAATCTCTCCTTACAGTTATATATGCCCTCTCTTTAGGAAGCAGCCAGTTTCAGTAAAACATCATTAATATAATTAATATATTTCATTACCTTTGTTCTGCTTCAGTTATTTTTCAGTGGAAAAGCTGAAGAATTTCAATAGCTAGGAGAAGAAATAATGTCACCTTGAATACAGAATTTCTTCATTATGATTCCCGAATTTGATTTCCAGCATGGAAGGGGAATGTATTTGTCAGGATAATGGCCAAAATGGGAAACAATAGGAAGCCTTTGTTATTTTAAATAGTTAAGTTGTTACACAATATGATGGACTTCTTCTGTTGTACCTTAATGGATAGTAACACAATCAATAAATGGCTGTAACAATTTCATTCTGCTTCACCTGCTGTAATTGAAAAATAAGTCAAGCAGAACTTTGGAGTAGTTTGTGATGTATATTTTTTTCTTCTGCCCTCGCCTGTCCTTTTCTTTTTCCTTTTTTTTTTTTTTTTTTTGATTAAGATAAAGATTACACTTTAGTGATTGGAGTAGGTGTAATTGTTATTATAAACACATTTCAACAAGCTGCTGTACCCTGAGAACAATACTGCAAGGCTACAATAGAATGAATGAAATCAAGGAGAAAAAACATGTATCTGAGTGGCACGAGCAAGGATGTCATTGGTAGAGAGAGAAAGTAGGAAGAAAAGAGGTGCTGCCATTCACTGCCTGAGACTGTTCAATCTAGAGTGGTCACCACTTCCTCTGCTAGAAGCTGACTAACAGCAAACTGTTGAACTAAAGTCCATCAGTTCTGCTTGTGACAAAACTGAAGGAACTCTATGAATTCCAGGCAGAGGATTTTTGTGTTATAAATGCATGGGGAAGAAACTGTTTCAGCTGTATTTTTACCCAACTGCAGTACTAAGACACATGTACTGCAATCATGTCCAAAAGAATTGCGTAGAAGAATTTCTGTGTGAGAATTCCAAATGGTGAGGCAGTAGTCATGAAAAGAAAGACTACAAACTGTGGAAATTTGGAATGGAAGCTATGTTTAAAAGCAGATATGGAAACAGTTAAATGCCCTCAGCCTGCCATGCATGCTTCAAGTGCACAGGAAAGATTAAAAACATGGTAAAAATATTTTTTGCTTTTTAAGAAGTGAAATGCAAAAAGCACATCCCATTTTCAAAGTAGGAACTCCTATCTCTCCTACCTAGTACAAGAGACATGACAAAATGATCCAATACTGATTTTCCATGGGTTCAGTAGGTTGCTAATCATAGAATCTTAGAGTGGAAGGGACCTAAATGAACATCTAGTTCCAACTCCCACAATACTGGTGAGAAGAGAGAAGAGGTTCCATTTACTCCCTTAATTACTTTGCAGAGTGATTGGTTTGGGGGTTTTAGATTTTTGTTATTTGTTTTGGTTTTGTTTTTAATAAAAATCTCTGCCACTCTATATTATGTACTACAGAAATTAGGGCAAAAGAAATATGACCTAAGAAGTGATTGTCTTGCATTCCTGTGGATTTGTTTCACCACCAGCCTGAGAAAGTTCTGTCCTCCACAAACGAGTTTTCCTATTACTACAAAGAGTGAGTTTCGTTGTGTGGAGTGACTGTCACTGTGGACCTGCTGCAAAGCAAGGGGCAGCCTGATCAGGGAAGTGTTTAAATTTAAAGTTTCTGGATATGACCTTACATCTGATGTCTGGAAGCTTTGTTTGGAGAAACAATAGTGACAGTTGTTATATTTTAGTCTTTCACAGGGCAGCCATCAGTCATGGAAGGTCTTCAAAGATAGAATGATTTGCTGCATTGTGACCTAAATGCTGCTAATGAGCAAGTCTGATCTGAAGTAGTCAGTGAAGAGACTTGGGTGATATCATAATGGACAGTAAGACTAAAAAATTACAAAGTTGTCAGCTGTTCACTAACATCGTTAACTCCTATAGTAAACTTAAAGATTTGAATTCCAAAGGAAACAAACGTTTTCTGTCATATTTGTCAAGCATCAAAGCTGATTGTTTATACATTTTCCCCTCCTATTTAAAGAATACTTGGGGGAAAATAATCCACTTAAAAAAAACCCTTCCAACTTAAACTCTTCTCTTTGGGCACTTCAGTCCACAGCAGTCTCATTTTCTGAGTTCCCTTACTGCTCACTTCTCTCTAATTAGAGCCAAGAGAATAGATCACAGCAAGTAACTTACTCAACAAATTTAGCTTCTTTTCTGCTCTCCAAATGTCTGCAAGCAGATTGCAATTTCCTCAAAACTGTTCATTATTCAAATTTACTGTATATATTTTTTCTCCCTCTGAGTATTTCTCTATGGATTGATCAAGAACAGTTTGCTTTAAGTATTCTGTATTCAAAATCCCAGCTGCCTTCAGTAGTTGTGATTAAATATAGAAGTCATGTGATATCATCCCTGCTTCTCAGATGCAAAAGCATAACTCTTTTTTAGACCCCAATTTGGCAAAGAATTTAAGCATGTGCCTAGAATTAAGCCTAAACGTTCTGCACCACAGAGATGAGACTATTTACCTCATTAAAGCTTAACATGCTTTTAAACACTTTCTTGGATCCAAGCCAAGCAATATCTCCTCTCCTCTTCTCCGCCCCCACCTCCCCCCACAAGCAAAACAAGGAATTTTACTCATTTACTTGGATTATTTGTTCCCCTAGCTCCAATCTTTTACAAAACCTTTAATATATAGGACACTGCTAAGTCCATGATTTGCCTTCTCTGAGTCTCTCTCCTGGCCACAGAAGTGCTAGCTCAAATGATTGTCCCAGTCTGGGAATTATTTTAACTAAATTCCATTCTTGGTTATATGACAAGGCTAAGAACACATTATATTTAACATTATTATGCATAAATGCACAGTCCACATCAGAAACCAATACCTACCTGATGTTTCCAGGCAAATTCAGGTGGAACCATCACAGGGCCCTACCGCTTAAATCCCACTGGAGCAACCACTTGAAAATTCAGATGGAAAATGTTTTCCATAATGATTATTTCTGTCTCCAAGAGGCTACAGGAGTGTCCATTTGATGAAGTTTAACACTTCATCTAACAGGAATTCACACATTTCCTCCTGCACCTCTGCATTAGAGGTCAGTGTGTTCCTGGTGGCCTCAGGTGTGAAGCTGTCTCCTATCCCATGGCAACAACATTTTCAGATGCTTAACAGCTAGTAAGACTTATGTAGGATAAGGCAACAAACAAAACAAAAATCCCAACAAAACCCCCACCTTCCAGAAAGAGAATTAACAACTGTGAAGACAATGTGTTTATTATTATCTTGACTTGTCAATGAGGATTTTAGGAGTGATTTACCCAAGCTGTTCATCAGCAGTCTCAGGACTGTGTGCTGACAAACTTCCTATAGTTTTCTTCTGAAATTCTTCAGCAGATTTTACTAAAAGGCTACAGGAACATTAAGTCAAGACCACATCCAGATTAGGATGCATCAAATCAAAACTTCCCCCACAAAGAAGTCATTGCTCACAGGGAGTAAATATAGGAATCCATGCTTACAGGTAAGAGAATCATTTGGGGACAGCAGATGAGGTGTAGCTCTGATGTGTTGCACTCAGGAAGAGCAGCCCAGAGAAGCCCAGTGGTGCAGCCATCCTAATGTCCAGGACCAGGAGCATGACAAGGAGGAGGAAACAGCAATTTGCAGAGGGCAGGTCCGAGCCACAAGGAACTCTCCAAATCCTGGCCTAATTTTGGCAAAGAGCTATCAAACCTTTTATCCCAGGTCACCTACTGATCTAGAAGCTCAATCCATTCTCCCTAAAGAAACCTCTAACTGGAAATTCAGATTAAACCCAGGTGTTAATCTAACAATGGCTCTGGCACATACACTGGAAGACTGAAAGGAACACCTGGAAGGGGAGGGTGGATGCAGAAGACACAGATTTTCCTGTTAAACTTTTTATCATGACTTTCAATAGCAAAGAATGCCATAAGGAGTCAGACCAGCTTAATGTTTTCAAGACATAGAGAGATATCTAAACAATGCCCAAGTGGTCCAAACTATAATCATCGATGCCCAACACTTTGTACATTTATTTTTAAATAGTGTATATATTCTCTGAGAGGTTTTGTAATACCTAGTGAACCTATGCTCTGTGTGACAGATGCACAGATTCCTCCTGATTTTGTGTTGATTTTTTATATTTATTTTGAAACAAGACCACACCCTGGCCAGTGCATACCTTGTCAAAATAGCATTTGATTCTCTTTGACTCAAGTTATACACACAAGGGGATTTCTGAGGGTTTATGCTGGATATTTTATGTAAAGGAGCTGTCTGTATGTTTTGAAATGGGCTCTATAGTTCATAGCAGGCAATTTCCCTCAAAAGTGCAATGTTCCACAAAGTAGAAGATGTGAAGCAAAGTGCAAAAATATCTCTGATTTTTTTCTCATGCCTCCTGCTGGAACTGAGTCATGCCTGCATTCAACACATCTCACATCTGGTCTTTCAGGTGCTGTCACTGTGAGTAGGATGAGCAGTGGCTGCAGGATTTACTTGGAGGGGTGATTGCAAAGCAATTCAGAACAAAAACTCACTGACAGACTGGATGACAAAAAATCCCAACCCAAAACAAAGCTTTAAGTACAGACAGACCCTGGAGTCATTCAGCTTTTGATCTTGGTGGCAATGTGCAAAGCCTGTTACACATGATGTTTCTCACTGCATGGACCAATGTGTCCAAACTTATCATATCCAGCACAACTTACCTGGACCTGGCATCTGATGCACATGCTGAGATAATTTGAAAGAGATGTCTCACGTCACTGGCTTGGACTTTAACTTCAAATGAGCACTAATTTCCAAACGTATCCTTAAATAAGCACACACATAACACAAATAGGACTTGCAAGCTCATTTAAAAATAAATTACTGCATTCAGTGGATGACCAGGAGAGGGTGTCTTCAGTGCCTTTCAGCAGTTCTATGAGCTACCCAGACATTTAGCAAGAATTGCAGTTGTGGAAACAGAAATGCTCATCTGGTGGGAGTTTGAATCAGTAGGTAAAAAATTTCAAGGTAATCATTCAATGGGAAAAAAAAAAGAAAAGCTATTTTTTAGTACATATGAAAGAACAGGAATATGCAGACTAACAAACCTCACATCTCATGGTTCCCTGGAAGATCTGGAAGGGTACAGTGGTGCTGGGGAGTGCTAAGCAGACTGTGTCACACAAGGCGCCGTCGCTGGGGTGTGAAATGCAGATTCTGATTACGCTGTCAGCTCTGAGCTGAGCTTTTTCTGTAGCCTGTATTTCTAGAACTCAAAAATATTTATATAGCATCCATTTCTGTAGCACCTTCCATCCCACAGAATCCCGGCGTGCGAGCCAAACAGAGATCAACTCCATGAAGCGGGGATGGCTTCAGCCAGCGCCGAAGCGCAGCAGCCGTGGAGCTGCAGATGGCAATGCCCCAGACCTCTGTGTGACAGGGAATAGCACCAGGCAAGCTGTGTGCAATGGGAACGCAGGAGACCAGCCCAAATGCCATTGCTCAGGCTGAGATCTGGCACCAGCACCCCAGGGAAAGGGCTGATTTTAACACAGCATTGCTGTGTTAACATGCTCTAAGCTGGCTTAAAATTCTGCAGGTAACTTGCAGATTTTGAGGATAGTACCCTAATTTATCTTCCAGGGCCTTTTCAATTCCCATATATTTTGCAGCAGTTGTAATCAAATGCACATGTCACTTTAAAGCAAGGACTAATGATAGAGCAGATTCCATTGCTCTGGAAGGCAGAGTTTCCATGATGTATTCTGGTGAAATCTTTGGCAGCTAGAGGTCAGACTGCTTTAATTGTACAACAGCAAAAATGGAAGGACTAGTAAATGTATTCACACCTGAAAAGGCCACCAAAAAAAGAAAAGGGCGGGGGGGGATGAGAAAATGCAAGTGTGAAGCAGTAAATTTTTTAATGCTTATCAGCTGCAGAAATGTATCCACATAATAGACTTCACAGGACAAATTTATGATTCTGCAAATGTTCCCTTCATTTAAATCAGCATCCCAGTGACTTTATATCTGCAAATCACCCTAAAATCCTGATGGCCTGAAATTCTAAATGCCACAATGGACCATCTCATGTTCATTCTTCCTGGTAAACACGAAGGAGGATCTATCATAATGACACTGGGGCCTTTTTGAGGAGCCCAAGGTCTGGCAATTATGCATATTAGGCTGAGTGTTTAAGTCCAATAATGGGGTTTTAGTGATGGATGGATCATCCTTTCCTGTACTTCTAAGATGCTTGTGATAGCTGAATTGTCCCCAAGTGGCACCCATAAATTTTGGCCTTTCAGAAAGGCCCACATATTGTGTAGGTATCACCCAAAGCCCTCATTAGTTAGACTGTGACCTTTGGTGCGTGACTATCAGGCAAAAGCCTACAAAAGGCCTGTGTTCGATTAGCACTGCAATTTGTTCATTATCTCCTGACAGGAATTTGCAAGTGTCAAAGACAATTCTGTTATGAAAAGGTCAAGATCTGAATGGTGGGGAGAGAGAGCATCACTCTCAGAAATTCTGCCCCAGCAGTAGAAACCACAACCTGATTCTCACCTGCTTCATTCTGGGTACCAGGAGCCAGAAGCAGGTAAATTGCAATTTCACATAATTCATCATCACAGGAGTTAAATCACTTCAGGATAAAAACGGGTTTTCTGCTTTTTTGCTTAAAATTATGGAAATTGTTTCTGACAGCAAATTGCTCCTAATTAATTTACAGTCTCTGCTGGGAAAATGCACTGTACTGTTGATTTCTACCTTCTACAGACTTAATTATTAAAAAAGCAAAATTTTCTTAAACTATTAACTTCTGTGCTGCCAGAATTAAGAATTATAAGAACTGGAAGAGAGGCTGGGTCTGGCGTGCAACCAGTCTGAGGTTACACCACACACCTGCAGACAACTGATCCCTCGAGTATCAGCCTGGTAATGTAAGGAGGATTATCGCCATTTTAGAAGACTCGATTTTGTTTCATTTTGGAAAAAAGTCAACCTTCTACAATTGCAACATTGGCTGTCACACCATTGAGCTGCCCTGTAGCTCTGGCATGGCTTGACCCTTGCCTTGGATGAACTGAGACCTCAGTGGGTGGTGGATGCCCAGCACTGGTCTGTCCTCAGCTCTCGGTTTTCCTGTCCCCTACCTGAGGCTGTGAAGCAGTTCACAACACTATAAATACTTCTCTGATGACAAGCTGTCATGCCACTAATGTGGGAAGGAGGAAAAGTGACTGTGCTAACTCCAGGTTCTCAAACTTGTGGAACCTCTGAGGCAAAGCAGAGTGGACAAGATGGAAAAGGTGGAAAGATGCAGGCTCATAGTCGGGTGAAATCCAGACTGCAGCAACACAAATTTCATCAGCTGTGCCTCACTAGAGGGGCTGAGGAGAAGAGAACCATTACTCCTTTGAGAAAAATGGGCATTGGATTTTTAGGACTGGGGACTGCAACCAATCAACAAAAAGGAAAGAAACAGAAGGATCACAAAATCTCTGTAATTAAAATTAGGGGAGTAAGGGTGAGAGGTGAATGGCCAAGATCAGGACTAGGCTACTAATATTTGAGGGGAGAAAAGAGAGAAGAAAAGCTCCATTTGAGTCACATCCCATGTTTCCAGCGCAACCCAGCTGCACCTCCTGGACACAATGAGCAAATGGACACAATAGCACGGCCTCAGACTGGTGGCACAGAGGTCTGAGAGGGCACTGAAATGTCTCCTAATCCACAAGGACAAAATTCTCTTGTCTTGGATGTTTTCACCTTTTCCATCTAGATTCCAGCTGAGTTTCAGTGCCAAACTTCCTTATGGCAGCACAGAGGTGTAACATGCACTGTCATCCATTCCCCTGTTATTTTCTTGAGGTGCAGGACATCCAATTATACTCTCTATTGGAATTCAAAGCTTGTAGTTATCTCTTTGGCGACTGATGATAAAACCTTTGATAGTGCATACTGGCATTGGTAAAATATCAAAAGACCTACTGTACAAGCACAGAAAATTTGACCCACTTTTGTAATACTACAAGGGTCAGAGTCTTACAGTAAATCCAGTGGGAAAGTTTGGCACAAGCCCATTTGATCCATGATATTTAGTTCCACGAGTCAGATTTACTCAGCTGCTTTCATTTTCTAAGCTGTCCCGGCTGAATGATTCCCATCACTTGCTGCTGGAGAGAAAGTAGCAGCAGATCACAGAAGAATCTAGAAAATGTTGTTCTAATATTTTTTTACATCACTCCTTTGCTGACAGCTGTGACATTTAAGAGGAGAGAAGGATTGGTGAATGAGGATTCACGACACTCTTGGTTGCCATCAGGGAAACAGCAGCATTGGCACAGAGGGGATGTGCATATTATTAAAGTACAAACAAATACACTCAAGCCTGATACACTTTAAACCTGAGACTACACGGAAAGGGGCATTGTTGCCATCAGAGAAAACACTTCATATTATCACAGAGAAAAAAAAGTACAGTTTGAGAGTTTGAGGGCAAACAAACCCTGCAACAATTTGCAAAGCTATTAAAAGAAAAAAACAAAGCAAACCTCCAAACAATTAAAGGAAACAAACAAAAACCAAACAAAACCAAACTTCACTGCAAAAATCAAGCACTAAAAGGCCAGAAAAACACAAATTAAGGCTGTGAGCTAGTTGAGAATTACACAGTACACAAGGCAACCTTAACTCTACCCTTTCAGCGACAATTTGAAATAGAGTCAAAATAAAAGAGGAAAATTGTTAGAAATCAGGATATTTGGGACTACTGCGAAAAATACTGCAAACACCATAAAATATTAATACAAAATTGGTCATTCAATAGTCTCCATGTTTTCCTTTGTTTCTTATAAACAGACATTATTCCAATTTGCTTGGTGTAAGAAGAGTGGCCAATTTCAACTTGCAGTAATAGTTTTTCTTAAAAGGTCAACCAGTGATCAATACTGCTTCCTGCCCACAAAACATTTAAACATGTACCTCATTTAGAATTGTAAATAAACATTTATGATGTTTATGAAGACATGTTTGATGTTCTTCACCGTGTCCTGAAGCAGGCAAACACCACAATCTGAGGTCATTTCAGGAAATTATAACCTGTGAGTACAGGCAGCTGGGGTTGGAATGTTACCTGAGCTTACTGCTGCCATTAGGGAAAACACCTGAGCTGAATGACAATAGAGTGTCACACTGCGAGTTCTGCCAATTCAGCTGGGAAGGGAGCACTGCTGGGCTTGGTGGTTAAGACAAAGAGAAGTTAATAATTACAGAATGTAACATATCATTTTGAAGGGACTCAAGGGAAATTCTCTTCTTGATAAAGGGAAGTTTACTATTCCTATGCAGGATGAGCAAATGATTCACTAAAGATAACACTCTTAAAAGACATTGATGATAGTTAATGTACTATCTCATCAGATGGAAAAAAAAAACCAAAAATTTAACATGCAATAGGAGACTTCAACCTCAAAACAAGTCTCCTTTATCCTGAGGACATTCCCTAGGAGGCACACGGAATTATACAGGGAGTTTTTTACTGACAGGCTCAGGTAGTGACCCTGGCAGGAACAGTCAACAAAAGCAAGCAGCAAGTAAAACTCTTGACTGCTGCAATGTGTGCGATGTGGGACTGACCCCAAGGACATCTGGCAGCTTCAGCTGGTGCAGGAGGTGGCTGCCTGCCACAGAGGATGAGTAAATGGACAAGAGAATGTTGCACCTGCTCTTGGGCTCCTGCTGGCTGCCAGTCTCATTCCAGGTGCAAGCTGAAGTGCTGGTTATTAACTATGAAGTCCTTGGTGATGTAGCAACTCAGCGACCTCAGAACGTCAGACACCACGGATCAATATTCCTGTGATCTTTGTGAGTAGTAAAAGTACTGTCCTAAATGAAATGGTTCTTGATCCTCCAATCCAGCTGCCCAGCATCCCTTGTGGCAACCTTCTGATGCAACTGGACACTCTGGATGCACTGTTGTACCTGATGGTCCCCCAGATCACCTTCATGGCCAGCATCCTCAGGTGAGGCATCCTGGATCTGACCTTTTTGTGACAGCAGTTTTGATCCCATCAGGAATGTTCTTGATAAAAACCCAACAGTTTTTCATCAAAACTTCAGCATGAGCAGCAATTCTAACTGTAAAGCAGATGGTGATGAGTATGCACTATTTATTTAGAGTTAAGGTTTTGCCTTTAATTTAATGCTGTGACACTTGAATGGCTCTGTGATGGGCTTATAAATGTCTCCAACTCCAAAAACAAAGCATGTAAGGTGAAGCAAAAATCTTTACAAAAATAGAAGTGGAAAGAGCAGAAATGTACTCCTGTGACACAGTTTGCTGGGTAGAGGTCTGGGACAGAGGCCATCACTCCCACTGCCTGTTCCTGAATGTGACACTGAGTGACATCATGGGATCTGTGTATCTCTGCCAGGTAATCATAAGAGATGAAAACTCCCCAATTCTTACATAAAAACTGAAGTAATGAAGTGATAAGCTACAAACTATACTGCTAATATCACCACCACTAGCATTTGTGAATAACCATCTTAAACACTATAAGATTTCCAACAAACCCAAATCCCAAATGTCAAAACAAGAAGTCATTTTACAGACAGAAAAGAACAACCATCAAGCCTTTCTTATGCTCGAAACAACCATCATGTTGCAGAAAGTTCCCCACTTTTCCAAATGCTCTCCCCATGCAAGGATAGGGGACCTGCTGGCCAGCTACATCTCCTTTGCCACTACAGTATGGCTTTATGATTGAACTTTTAAGTCCTGAATTCTAGTGGGAGCATGAAGTTTCACAGGTACAGTAAGTGAAGACAGCACTTTTCATGGTTATTTAAGTAAAATATCCTAAAATAAAGTGTTAGGCTGCCAAATTCAATAACTTTGTCAAAATCTTCTGAAGGTGGATCTTTATTATTTGTTAACAAGAGGAATATTTAGCAATAACTAGCATTGGAGAGAAATCATGAAGGGTATTGCTCTTTGCTATATATAAATAATTTATATATATAAATTTATATATATATAAATGCTCCAGGACAGTGTCAGCTTGGCAGAGGTCAGAAAAAGCATTCCTGTTTGAATTTTTCTTGACTATTTTGACAGATTAAAGAAATCTGTATTTCTTAATAGGTTTTTGTTTTGGGGTTTTTTTGCCCAGAGTATGCATGCTTACAGTAACTCTTGAACCTGTTGAACAATTTCAAGCTCTTAGACAAAGGGTAGTAGCCTGCAAAATCAGAGGCTCCTTCACATTTAATGAAAACAGGCAGACCATTCAAGGAGAAAGAGACTATTAAAGTGTCTTCATCAGGGGAAAATTTGTAGTATGAACTCACTACTTATTAAAGACCAAGAAACCCGTACTTGCAAGCAGGCATTATTAATCTTTCTGCTAAGAGAACTGCTTATTCTAAAGAAGTGCATGGTGCTGCTGTGCTTCCAAGATATAAGATGACAAATTCATTAAATGTCAAAGTAACTGTTTATACATCAGAAATGGAGCAGACATGGGCACTAACAGCCATGGGCTCTTTGTGTGTCTTAGGTGAGCTGCTCTCTCTCCAAGCTGCAGTTGAATTCCTCACACTTGTTTGTGGATCAGAAGATGGTAGACGAAGAGAGGGTGAGGAGCAAATCTTGGGGAAGCAAAGCAGAGCCAGGCAAAATGCAGAGGCTCTGCCAGAAAGCTTTTTACACAGACCTCACATGCCTCTGCTGGAAAAGAGGCGAGAGCTTTGCATCTGGCCCATGCAGCTGCCAAAGCCACCCCAAGAGTGATAGAGAAAAACAGAGCTGAGGAATGCCAAGGGCAGCACAAACCTCTCCGCCAGCATGGGGATGTGATGCCAAGTGAGGAGCAGGATTGCATGCCTCCACCTTGAAATGGCATGCCTTTTTAATAAAGGAAATTTGGATGGAGGAACAACTTGCCTGGGCACATTTTTTACATGTTTTTAGACTTTGTAAAAGGAATAAATGACCAAAACACTTGTGTCTGCACCTATAGCAAGCCCAGTGGTAGTGTGAACGCTGCCAGCACAACTAAATGAAATCTGCACTGATGCCAACCACAATCCTCAACTGAGCAGAATATTGCAGAGCTTGGCAGCTGGGGTCTCTGATTGCCATTCAAACAGGTGGAGAGGAGTACAAATGAGACCTTAGTATCTGGTGATCCCAAAGAATCAATGGACTGAAATGATAGTGCCCAAGATTGCAGAAAACAGTAAAGAGAAAAAAAATTGACAAGAGTGAAGCTAAACTAGGACATGAAAATCCAGGATAGGCCAGAAAACCTTGCATCCCTCAACAACAAAATGGCAAAATCATACTGTATTTTCTATTTGTATTTAGGTCATGGACTTTTTTAAGGCGTAAAAGCACATTAGTATTAGAATAGCCTCTGAAGCAGATGAAGCACATTAACTCTACAATTCACTGATGATATGACATCATTGTTGTCATTTATCCATTTGCAAAAATCCAGATTATTGCTTCCTTTGATCCCTGAAAAGAGAAGCCTCAGATGCCTTTGAGAAAATATCCTCATCAATACTGAAGCACTTACAGAGCAACCTGCCACAGGGAGAGAATGGACTGAGACCGGAAAATTAAACATTTGAACTTCAGCCTTCCTGTACTTCTTCCAAAACAAAGGAATATAGGAAGGGTGCAGAGTCCATGGGGAATAACCATAAATTAGACAAGTTTTTCATGTCTGCCATGACTTCAGAACCCAGGCTGGTGGTGAATGAAAGTCATGTCCATCTGTGGGCTGTTTGCTGGCAGAGTAGTTTAGCAAATGTTTTTGTGGCACAGGTCCTATTCCTGGCTGTCACAATTGACACTAATTAACACCCTTGCTGACAGCCTTGGGGGAAAAGGCCAGGGGCTGAATGGGCACAAAGGCTGGATTGGCCTCTTCTTCCTCCAGCTTGTCTCCTTGAGGGGAGGATGGAGGCACACTGGGACATGCTTGGCCTGCCAGGACCTCGTAG